GGGGCATGCTACGCTGCCAAGTGGCTCTGGTGACTTCCTGCCATGTCCCAACTCAGGGACCAATAGAGGGCAGTCCTCCCACACGGAGGTCTCAGAGGCAGCAGGCGAGGCCCTGAATGGTTGGTCAAACACTAACAACTCTTGGACTTTCAAATGTGACAGGCAGGGACAAAATTGCGGTTACATATTGATGGCTACTTCAACTATCTCTGACCTTAATCATTAAACCAGAGGCTCCAGGTAGATGTTCGTGGCTAAGGGGAGCAGCTGGGTCAGAAAACCAGCCTCCCTTCATTCTAGCCCCTGCTCAGGTGAACCTCTTTTCTGAGTTCAAGTCCTGCTGAGCAAAGTCTCAAGGAGGAAGGTGTCTGGCCCTGGATGTGTCACTAGGGGTTTGCCCTCCTCTCCCTAAACAGCAGTAAGTGGGTAGGAGGAGGTTGGGTTTGAGCTATTGTCACATCCTAGGATCAAGGGATGATTGCATGGGTCCTAAGCCCTGCAACGTACAAGCTAGTGCAACCTTCTGGGGCAGGAGGTGGGGGAGAACACAGATGTCCTTGGGGCTCAGGCCAGGGTACCTTCTGGGTTTGCCTTGAGGACTGCAGGTGACCAAGATGAATACCACCTGGGAAATGTTCTCCCAGCTCAATGCATGAGCGCTATAGCATGGATTTTCTTTCCTCCTCCCACCTCTGCGATCAGCTTTGAACCTGTACTCAGAGTGGCACAACACAGACTCCTCGACAACACACAGAGGTTCACATGGGGAGAGTGAAGTTCTCTCTAATGACCAGAATCGGTGGCTGCGTGATCACAGAAAATAATTTTGCCCAAGAAGGGGAGAAGGATGGAATCAGAAACTTCCAAATTTGCTGGGGAAAGCAGGGGCTTTTTTGGAGGTTGACGCTAGGAACAAGGACCTCTCTTGAACGAAAGGCGGTCAGAGGCTCTCAGGAGCAGGGAGGCAGACAGACACACACGTGGGATGGAAGAACTGCTTCCATGGTTGTCTGTGCTTTTCCTAGCTATGCTATCCTGGGGTAAGAGGCCGGGGACAGCTCTCTCTCTCTTATAAACACAAATGTGCTGAGGTCCTACTGTCACATTGGGCTGGAGTCTGGGGGAAGCGGCTCTGGGGCCTTCTGTGACCAAGAGGTCGATCCCTGGGTAGCTGTCCTAGGCGGGTATCTTGTTAAGCAAAATCCTTGCAAAGTGAAAGATTTTCTTCCATTCCCTCTTCCACCTTGCAAAAAAAAAAAAATTTTTTTTTTTTTTTGTCCTACTCCTCAGCTGCCACTGGTTTGTGGGAGGACACATTGTTTTGCTGTTTTTGAGTTGACTTGCTTAAATAATAAACCCACCCTCTTGTACAGGATTAAGCAGACAATTAGGAAATCAATCCATCAATTGGTGTCAGCTGGAGAGAGAGGCTAGTAAAAGGCCCAGTCGGCCGCTGACCCTCTCCGATCTTGAAACCTGCTGAGGCCCTGGGCTGTGTAGGCAGCAGGCGTTCTGAGCTTCATTTGCTTCCACTTCAGGGGCCCTGAGGTTGGGACAAATTCAGGGACGGAAAAATGAGGAGGGAATAAGGAGTGTGGGGCAGCAATGAAGGCTTGCACTTAGTGGAGCAGGAAATGAGAGGCTGAGGCAGGGCTAGCAGCTCCGCCGAGGCCATTGCCCCGCTGGCCTGTAAGTTCCCGGCCTCCTCTGTAAGAAGGAGGCCCACTCGCCTGCCAGTGTGGGGACCACTGGACATGGGTGCCAATTAGAGTTATTTGCCCCCTAGGCTAGACTGAAGAAGAAAAAGCCAAAACCCAAAATACAGGGAGGATGAGCCTTTGAAAACCACTGCGACCTTTGTATTTGTAGAGACAATTTGCCCCAGGATTGAGAGGCAGAGCCCAGAAAGTCATCTGAAGCTCTCGGTCCTAGCACAAACATCCTGAGGCCCCAGTTCTGCCAGGGACCACCTGCTTGGGGCCCGGGGAACACCTCTCTGGACACTCCTGGTGCTGTCGGCTACAGCCAAGGCCTCTCATCCACCCATGCATGGGTGTCTTCCCTGTGGGAGGGGCCCCACATACCCCCTCATTAGGGACACAACTTTCTCCCCAGCCAAGAGATTGTGGCTTCAAGCTTTGGCTCTCTGGAGAGCAAGGGAAACTGCATGTGCTTTCTTCCAGAAAGGGAAAAGGACCGCATCTATGGAAGGAACAGGGAGAGCCATTTTATTGGTATTGAAGAGTTGTTTCACAGACATCGTAGTGTTGGGTGCGGACCTGAAACCCAGATCTGCCCCAGCCATCCTGGCTCTCAGAGCGGATGGTGCTGCTAAAGACTTGAGAGGAGACCTTCCGAGAAGGTCTGTTCTCTCCAGGTCAGGATTGTACAGCCTCAAGTCCTCCTCCCCACATTCACACACTCCCTCCCTGGGGAGGTTTGGGGGTTCTTGGGTGCCCACTCTGGGAGGGGAGATGCCAGGTCTTTCTGGTGGCACAGTTGTGCCTCTAAAGCTCCTCAGGAGGTGGGACAGGTGGTTTGACTGCAGGAAACTAGGACTGGCTTTGCCCAAGCCAACAGGCTCTCTCCCCAGGCTGACTCGCCTCACGCAGGACCACCCATGGACCTCTCCAAGCTCTTAGAACGTCCAGTGGATCCAGGTGGGCTTGGGCACTGTATGTCTGTGGGTGGAGACACAGCTTGGGTGCGATGGTGGGGCCAGATCAGGCTTCCAGCTGTGCCAGGACCTGGAATGGTGAAGTTGACCTGGGCCCCACACATGGAGTGCTAAGTGAAACCAAAGTTGGGTGTAATAAGAATGTTGGGTGGGGGAGGAGAGTACAGAAGTTCTAGGCCAAGGTGGGCTTCTTTCTTGGCCAAGAAAAGCCAAGTTGAGTTGTCTGAGAAATGGCGGACCCGAATTCCGTGTCGTATCTGTGGCTCATGGCCCTGGGCCCTGGTCTGGTCTGAGGCTAGTCTGTTTATGGGAGGGGGACAGGAGTCGTTTCATCTTTCCTAACCGAAGCACCTGAGCCCAGCATCACCCAGGTAACCGGCAGGCTGGATACTGGCCTGGAAGGTCTACGTGGTTGCCTTCTTCCAAGCTCTCTCAGTGAGGCCAGAACTTTAAGGGCAGAAAGGCAAGGTTATCCGATCACTTCACCAGAACACCAAGCGGGCCTTGGCAGTAAAGAGGACAGGACACAGCCCTGGGGTACATGTTTATGTGAGTAATAAAATATTTACTATAACATAAATATAAAGGGAACTTCCCAGTCTACATTATTTTTTTGCAATAAAGATACAAAGAGAATGCACCAAAACATTGTTCCAAAAAAATAATAAAAATAACAAAATTTAAATTCAAACGGTAACAAACAGAAGAAGAGATGGAGAAGGGGGAAGCTCCAAATACATCCAGAAAATAAATAGAGATGGGTCAGAAATCCGGAAATCATATTAAAATATCTTTTTCAGATTAGTTGGTGTACAAAATCCTTTAGGATCGGGAGGGAGGGCAACCCGGAAAACCAAAAATAAAAACCAAGCACAAAAATGTTTCTTTTCCCCACCAGTGTGTACATATTTCACATATTTACACGGTTCCCACCTCACCCCAAACTTGGGGACTTTCTCCCCCCATCTCCCCAGCATCCCGCATCCTGGGGTGGGGGCTGGAACAGGAGTTGAGGGAGGCTGTAGGAAATCAGGCAGAAGGTTCTCAGAAAACGGCTTATTTCTACAGCTGGTTAAAAAATATCTCCAACTTTTCCAAGTTTCGTTCTTTAGGGCCAGGAAGGCAGGCCCGGCAGAGAGCGGAGTCCCCACTGCGCGGGTCAGCGCACTGGCAGAAGCCCCTCCCCACCAATCTGTGCGGGAGCGCAGACTACTCCCGCGTGGCCGGTTCGAGCGGGGGCTCGCATAAAACGAAACGAAAAATGAACACTCCAATTTTTTTGTTAGTTTTTTTTGTGTGTGTGTTTTTTTTGTCTTTTTTTTTGTTTTGTTTTGCTTCTTTGGGGGAGAGTGGGGTAAGATAAGGGGAGAAAATAAATTAGGCTAGATTAAAGCTTTGGCTATTTCCTGCTTTTATACACAGACGCGGCTCTCGCGGCCTCCCCTCCGGGGCCCCGATAAATACAGTATACAGCGATTTAAATTAAGGGCGCGGGCGGAGTTAGAAGGACCCCAGGAGCCAAGAGGCTCCACCAATAAATAAAAACCGTAAAAAACCAAGCCCGGAGAAAGGGGTAAGGGATGGGTGGGGCGCATCCTTAAGGGACAGAAGAGAGGAGCGAATAAAGTGACAGCTTCCCACCCTGGACCCACAGGCTCGGGAGTCCGCGCCGGGGAGAGGGGATGGGAGCTTTCCTCTCTTCGTCCCCTCTCCCGGGGAATCCCTAACCCCGCACCGCGTTCCCTGTCGCTGTGGGGAGCCGCTGCCGGGATCCGGCCCCGAACAGCCCGGGGGACAGGGACGGGGGTCGTCGAGGGAATGGGGGCAGAGAGCAGGCGGCGGGCAGGGTGCCCGGGATGAGTTGACGAGTTCCGTGTCTTCGCTCCTCTCTCCCGGGGCTCGGGCGACGCAACCTATCTGGCAGTCTTCGCCGCTCGCCGGAGAGGGCCGTCCGGGTGTTTGGTTTTGTTCGAAAGTTTCTGGGCTTTTTGTAAAATCCAAAGCAACCGAACAAAAAGAGTCAGGCCGCGCGGGCGGGCTGCGCGCCCCAGCCTCGCCGCGCGCCGGCGGGGGC